TAACAAGAGACCCACGAATCTTAATACAAACCTTGTTTACCTAATAATAACCATTAATAACTATTAATAACTATCAATGAATAATTAATGAGATTACTGAACACACTACTGTCATAAGTTGACACTATGTATTGTATAAACTGATAAATATATGTACATGTACATATATGTACATGTACATGTAAATTGTACTTGATATGTGAAGTGAGCGTTGAGAACTGCCGTCAATAAAGTACTTAAGAACAGACCAAGAGCGTAATAATAGCCGTGAGACATGGGCTCCTGAGAGAGAGGGGGGAGGGAGGGGGAGAGTAAAAACTGAAATAAAAGAGAAGAGGCTGTTCTTACTGTTCTATTCTCCATGAAAGCCACCAGCTGGTGTAAGAGTAAAGGGCCTCCAAAACCAATCACATCATTAACTAGCTTCATAATACCGAGAGGATAATAATGGAGACCAAAGGACAGGTTAAGAGCACGTACCAGTGACATCTGACGAGGAGGAGGAGGAGGAGGAGGAAGGTCAGTATTATTAGGAGCTGTATTGTGAGCAGCTGCTGCTAAAGATGGTTGACTTGAGTGAGATACTGAAAGCCTGTCCATTGATTTGAGAGAATATAGTTCAGTGTCAGCCCTAGCTCCGCCCCTATCGGGATTAAAAATCCTTTGAAATCTTTCTCTAACGGTAGACGTCCACAAAGCTTTAGGCATTAGAGGGAGGTCCTGTGGTCGTCGTAGCAACCCTAGTGACCCTCTCTTCATGAGGGGCTGTACCCACCAAAAGGAGAGAAGTGATAAAGGATTAGCTCGATCCTCTGAAGCATCTGGTAAACGGAACCGTCTCAGAGTAGGGTGTGGTCTAACCGATCCATATTCCTGTATACCATGTGACGTTACCAACAGCTCATCACCATCGTCCAATATCTCCTCTTCATCCTCACCTTGACGGAACTGGGTGGAGCCTAATAAAGGGGTGTGGCTTGACCGATGCTTACCGGCCGGAACAAATAAAAAAAAAACGTAGACTACTTGGACCCCAAACTCAATGTAAGTGGTGATTTGAATAACACTGGACGAGAGGTAGGACGGAAGAGTAGAGCCGTGGTTTAAGTAGTGTATGACAGAGCGAAACCGAAGGATAGTGGAGAGGAGGGTGAGTCCCCACGTCAGGTTAAGGGGCAGTGGACCGAGGCCGGTATGAGTAGGAGAGAAAGAGAGAACAAAAAGAGAGAGAGAATGAATGATCCATGCTAACACTGAGAGGGACTGAGAAAGAAAGAGAGAGTAGGAGAGAGATGGAATCAACAAGAAAGAAGAGACCAGTTTCGTGATGGAGTTGATTCCTAGTATTGTAACGAGGATACCACGAGCTAGTAAACCCAGTGATGGCCTCTGTCTCCTGTTACGAGACCTGTAGAGTCCAGCGTAAAGGGCGCTCACTAGAGAGAGGAGAGAGTAGGAGAGGCTAAGGATGAATATCTCTTCAAAGCAAAGTCCAAAATCCCCATCCTTCCAAAATATGAACTGGGTGTCTATCAGAGGAGGCCCGGGATGTCTTTTCAATAAAGGAGAGTGACAGAAGGAAGCATATTCACTCATATTTTAAAAGCTTTACTCTCACCCTCTCTTGGTCTTCTCTTTTCCAGGAGGGTTAAAAATACTTCCTGTAGGTAGGTGTGGTTTACCCACGTGCAAAAACGTGGTCGGGTTTAGACTGAGAAAATGATTGATCAAAACCAAAAAGGCTAACAGAACTAAGGGACAATATCACTAGCTAAAAAGCATGTACTAAACTACTCAAAAAAACTAATAACTGAGTCCTATAATATATATATAAATAGTTAATGTCCAAAGGAAGGAGCTCCATCTTGTGTTCAGACACAAGTACAGGTAACTCCGGCATCTTGAGCATGTAGACAGCTATTGCTGGTAGAGTAGGAGCAGCTCTTCAGTGATCCCTCAATTCCTGTACACTGGAGACTGCTCATTAGTATAGAGCCTGTACCAGGACCAAAGTATCCAGCAACACGAGCAGTTCCTGGAACAAAAGACACATTGTGTGATTGTAGAATGTTGCAGCTACTACACAACTATTCCTTACCAGTTCCCAGTCCAAGCTCCCTGCAGACTACAGAGGCGTCAGTATCATCAAAGGAATCATCACACACGGTACCCCATACTCCATTCTTAAACACTTCAATCCTTCCTTCAAGACTTGAGGTGCCTCCAACAAGTTTAATTGGAGCTGGAAAATAAAAAAATAATTTACTAATCAATTCTACTCTTTTATCTCTTTGACTTACGTGAACACAAAACTCCAGCATCTTCATAGTGACCGCAGTTATGACTGCTGGTGTGGGTACAGCTGGTGATTTCAGTTTCATTTCCAGTACACTGCAGGTCATCCATTAGAATGCTACCAGTACCTTCACCAAATGTTGCAGCTAATCTTGCAACTCCTGCAAACAAACAGCACATACAAGCATTAACAGTACATGCAGATGATCAGTGACTCTCTCACCATTAGCTAATCCCAGCTGCTTGCAGACTACTGAAGCATCAGTGTCGTCCCAGTAATCATCACATATGGTGCCCCAGGCCCCATTGGAGTATATCTCAACACGACCTTCATAATCATTCCTACCATCAACAAGTCTTATAGGCTCTAAATAATAATAATAATAATGATGATAATAATAATAATAATAATAATAACAATAATAATAATAATAATAATAATAACTATGATTATTGTTTAATATTAGCTTACGGATACAGCTGACTCCAGCATCTTCAGAGTGAGCGCAGTTGTGGTTGGTAGTGTGGGGGCAAGTCCTCAGTGTCTCTTCAGAGCCAGTACAAGCTACATCATCCATTAGTATAGAGCCAGTACCAGCTCCATAAAATGCAGAACCATAAGCAACTCCTAAACAAATGAATTTAAAATAATTTACAATATTTATAATATTTATTTATATATATATTGACCTGATACAAGACCAAGTTGTCTACATACTACTCCAGCGTCAGTGTCGTCCCAGCCATCATCACAGACAGTGCCCCATTCCCCGTTAACATATACTTCAACACGTCCTTCATAATCGTGAGATCCTCCAACAAGACGCAAGGACTCTGAAAATTAAAAAATAATAATAAAGATACAAAAGGTGTGATCTATACTTACGTATACAAACCACTCCAACATCTTCGGAGTGACCACAGTTATGATTACTGGTGTAAGAACAGCTGGTAATGTTCAGTTCTGATCCAGTACAGGACACATCATCCATGAGGATTGACCCTGTACCCCGTCCAAAATAGGCGGAGCCTCTAGCCGTCCCTCCTATCAATAAAAAATTAAACATTAATTAGAAGTCATGAACTATATGGGATATTCTGGAAAAAGGAAAGGATTCTTCATTTTTCTTACTCATATAAATGCACTTATACTTTATAAATCAAAATTGGGCTAACAAGTTCCTTACCATCAGATAGCCCAAGCTCCCTACACACAACTGAGGCATCAATATCATTAAAACCATCATCACAGACAGTGCCCCAGGCTCCATTCATATACACCTCCAATCTTCCTTCATAACTGCTGGCTCCACCAACAAGACGTATTGGAGCTATAATACGAAATAATAATAATAATAACAATAGTAATAATAATAATAATAATAACGATGATGACAGTTTTCTCTCTCTCTCTATAAATGGTAGCTTACAGGAGCAGGATACTCCAGCATCCTCAGAGTGGCCGCAGTTATGAGTGGTAATGTGAGAACAGCTGGTGAGGAAGGACTCTGTCCCAGAACAGGCGACGTCGTCAATCAATATGGATCCTGTACCCTCACCAAAATAAGCAGAACCATGAGCAATACCTAAAATAATAAAATAATAATAATATTTATAATAGTGTGATTTTAGCATTTCTCTTTAATCTATAATACAGTTGACTACTTAAACAATTAATCCTTCCTATAACTTCAATATCACACACAGTCATTATCATGTCTACTAGTAATTTACCATCAGATAGTCCTAACTGTCTACATACAACTGTGGCATCAATGTTATCCCAGCTATCATCACAGACAGTACCCCATGCTCCTCCAATAAACAGCTCAACTCTTCCTTCACGATAACTGCTGCCACCAACAAGACGTAATTGTGCTACAGAGAAAAAGATGAAAGGTCATTCTCAAGATGAAGGTTAGTCTCGCCATGCCCCTTTGTAGAGAAGGGGCGGGGCGAGACTAGATGAAGGTTTAAACTTACGAGCACAAACCACGCCGACGTCCTCCCAATGGCCACAGTTATGACTACTGGTGTGGGAACAAGTGGCCAAGTTCAATTCGGACCCGGTACAGGCCACGTCATCCATCAATATTGAACCGGAACCCTCACCAAAATATGCAGACCCCCTAGCAATACCCCCTATAATAATAATGATTATTAATCATGAATGGATAAATAGTCTATGGTTGATCATAACTTACTGTCAGATAGCCCGAGCTCCCTACACACCACTGATGCATCAATATCATTAAAACCATCGTCACAGACAGTGCCCCAGTGTCCGTTAACAAATACCTCAACCCTTCCTTCATAACTGTTGGCACCACCAGCAAGACGGATTGAAGTAGCTTAATAATAATAATAATGATAATAACGATAATAATAAATTGTATAATAATTACTTAGGCAGGTGACTCCAGCGTCTTCGCTGTGTCCACAGTTATGAGTTGAGATATGAGTACAGCTGCTGAGGGTATTCTCAGTACCTAGACACTGGACGTCATCCATTAGAATGGACCCAGTACCCTGACCAAAATAAGCTGAACCTCGTGCAATACCAGCTGCAACATAATAATAATTATTATTATCATTTATTTATTGTTTCTCTCCTGGTCCTCACCAGATGAAAAACCTAGTTCTCTACAGACTACTGATGCATCAGTGTCGTCCCAGAAATCATCACAGACAGTACCCCAGGCTCCGTCTACAAGAATCTCAACACGACCTTCATGAGCACTAGAAGAGCCAGTGAGACGTATCGGAACTAATAAATAAAAATAATATGTAATTAAAATAATAAAGTGTAATTAAATGTTCTTACCAGCACACGTGACTCCAGCATCTTCATGATGACCGCAGTTGTGACTACTGGTAGCAGTACAGGAAAAAAGAGAAATCTCTGTCCCAGTACAGCCCACATCGTCAAGCAATATGGACCCGGTACCCTGGCCAAAATAAGCAGAACCACGAGCAGTACCAGCTACAAATACAAACAATAATAATAATAATATTGTTTATTAATATCCTACAGTTAGAGTAGCCTAGTTGAGAGCATACTACTCCAGCGTCAGTGTCGTCCCAAAGATCATCACAGACAGTACCCCATTCCCCGTTAATGAATACTTCAACACGTCCTTCAAATGAGCTGGAGCCTCCGACAAGACGTAATGAACCAGTAGGACCTAAAGAAACGAGTTAGAAGTTGATCATGTAATGGAAAGTTGAGCTAAGCTGTGTATGCTTACTTAAACAGCTGACTCCAGCATCTTCATAGTGAGCACAATTATGATTGCTAGTATGGGAGCAGCTGGCAAGGAAACCCTCTGATCCAGTACAAGCTACATCATCCATTAGTATAGACCCAGTGCCAGCACCATAATAAGCAGAACCATAGGCAACCCCAACTGTAGGAGAAAGGATTGTAATATTAATAAACAGCAGTGGTACTGTTACCTGACGAGTATCCTAATTGTGAACAAACCACTCCAGCATCAGTATCGTCCCAGCCATCATCACAGACAGTACCCCAAACCCCATTAACATACACTTCAACACGTCCTTCATATGAATTGGATCCACCAACAAGACGTAATGGAGCTGCCAAGAACAGATAATGATAGAATTGTGTTTAAGGAGAAGCTTACGAGCACAAGTCACTCCAGCATCTTCCAAGTGTGCACAGTTGTGAGTGCTGGTATGGGAACACAACATTAGCTGTAACTCAGACCCAGTACACATTACGTCATCCATCAATATTGAACCAGTTCCTTCACCAAAATGAGCATAACTTCTTGCAGTACCACCTTAAATGTAATTAATAAATAATTAATAAATAATGATATTAATAATTACTGTCTGATAGTCCAAGTTGTCTACATACTACTCCAGCGTCAGTGTCGTCCCAATAATCGTCACAGACAGTTCCCCATTCCCCGTTAGCGTACACTTCAACACGTCCTTCATAAATTGAACTACCTCCAACAAGACGAACAGCCTCTACAGGTAGAAAGTGGAGAATATTAATAACTTATTAATAATAGTTATTAATTTACGAGTGCAAGCTATTCCAGCATCTTCAGAGTGGGCACAGTTATGGTTGCTGGTGTGGGTACAGCTGGTCAGGAAATACTCTGAACCCGTACAGGCAACATCGTCTAATAGGATAGAACCAGTTCCGGCTCCAAAATAAGCAGAACTATAAGCAATACCAGCTAAAAAAAAAATAATAATAATATCACTGAGTTTTATAGTTATTTTACCAGCTGGGAATCCAAGCTCCCTACAGACCACTCCAGCATCAACATCGTCCCAACCATCATCACAGACAGTACCCCACTCTCCATTAATATATACTTCAACACGTCCCTCTTGACTTGTGGAACCATCGATAAGACGAATTGGAGCTATAAATAGTAACAAAAACAATATTAATAAAATCTTAATAGTAATAATATCTGGGACTCACGAGCACAAGAGACCCCTACGTCTTCATAATGGCCACAGTTATGACTGCTGGTGTAAGTACAGCTGGTAATGGAGGACTCAGTCCCAATACAGGACACATCGTCCATCAGTATTGAACCAGTACCAGCTCCGTAATAGGCGGAGCCTCTTGCAATACCTAAATACCAAATTGAAGATAGTTATATTACATAATTAACTGATATGCATCAATTTACATACCACCAGATAGTCCGACTTGTCTACAGACAACTGAAGCATCAATGTCATTGAAGTAATCATCACAGACAGTTCCCCAGGCACCTTCAAGGAATACTTCAACACGTCCTTCATAACTGTTCTGTCCACCAACGAGACGAATTTGAGCTGCAAAATGCAAATAATAATAATTAATTTTATGATTTCATAAGTTCGAAAGCTTACGAGAGCAAGTGACTCCAGCATCTTCAGAGTGAGCACAGTTGTGGCTGGTGGTGTGGGGACATTCACTGAGAGCAATTTCAGTTCCTGTACATTGGATATCGTCCATCAGTATGGAACCGGTTCCAGAACCAAAATAAGCAGAGCCTCGTGCAGTACCTAATAAGGAAAGATTCCATTATACATTAATTAGATGAGTATAGAGGATTTGAATCTCTTTACCTCCAGTGTATCCCATCTGCCTACATATGACAGCTGCATCAACATTTTCAAAAAGATCATCACAGATTGTACCCCAGGATCCATTGATAAATATCTCAACTCTACCCTCCAAACTATTGGAGCCGCCAACAAGTCGCAAAGGCTCTGGAAAAAACAAAAAATGAAGTACAAATAATGCTTAATAAACAACATGATATGTTTTATTAGCTCACGAGAGCATGATACTCCAACATCTTCAGAATGAGTGCAGTCGTGAGCACTGTTGTAGCTGCAGTTGGTTAGCGTTGATTCTGATCCAGTACATCCGACATCATCCAACATTATGTAACCAATACCAGCACCGTAGTAAGCAGAACCTCTTGCAATACCTTAAAACAAGTATGGATATAGCAGTAAATGAATATAGTACCATATCAATGCGAAAAGGTGCAGTTTTAAATGCGAAAGTTGCAGTTTCTGTACCTGATGTATAGCCGAGTTGCCTGCATACAACACTAGCATCAACATTGTCAAAGTAGTCATCACAGATTGTGCCCCATTCTCCATTCATGTATATCTCCAGTCTTCCTTCATATGTACTGCTGCCGCCAATCAAACGAAGAGATCTGTCAGGACATTCTTCTAAAAAGAGAAAGGGATGAAATTGGAATACAATAGCTGCAATGTGCACTTGCCTTGTGCAACAATGGATACCACAGCCAGTGATAAAAAGAGTAGAACCGCACTCCACAGCATTTCTCCTCCTATTCAACCTGCAAGGAGTACAGCTCCTAATGAATGAAGAACAGCAGTATCTAGTTGTTGATCACAAATAATGCAACCAATTCACCTGAAGTAATGATATGACAGAGTTCCAACCTATAGCAGTGACTATAGGCTTAAGTAACAGTGCTGGTTGATTGGGTCTTTTATAAGAGGAGTTGGACAGGTTACGTTGTAGCTGCCCATATCAGCAATAACTACCCCTGGTAGTGACAGGCCACAGGAGAAACTGTACATTCTTAACAAGAAGGAAAACTGCAGCAAATAAATAATAACAATAATAATAATAGCAGATAATAATAGATTAAGATTTATTTAGCTCAAATCTCAAAGTGTGAACTACTGACTACAATGTGTATAGGAGTATTACAATGTACATGATTTATATTCTGGAATAAAATATTAATACAGGGCCTTGGAGCCCTTCCAAAAATTGTTAAAGAAATTGTTAATTGAAGATCCATCAGATCCAGGTTCAACAATACACACAGTGGATGCACCTTTAAATACCAGACAAACTATGTGAGGCTATTGTGGGTTGGCCTCTTACTATCATCTCTTTGTTTATATATTGCATGTAAACCCAGCCCATTACAAGCCCATTTACAAGCCCAGCCTAACAACGAGCCTAACAATGAAACGTTTCCTAGCCATTACGGGTTGTACTGGCCTAGCGGTCGGTCTAACAGCTCTCTCCCTCTCAACTGGTAGCGACTGGAGCTACAGGTACGTTGCAATGCCTCTCGTTCGACTAATGGACCCCGAGAGAGCTCACAGAGCTGCTGTCCGCCTTGCAAACTGGGCTCCATCTACACACGTGGAGGACGAGAAAATATTGGTGAGGATCACGTGATGCTACCCGCGCATTTACCCGCGTTTCTCTCCTAGAATACTCAAGTTTGGGGTCTGTCGTTTTCAAATCCAATCGGCATGGCAGCTGGGTTTGATAAACATGGGGAGGCTTATGTTGGGTTGTTTAAAGTTGGTTTTGGGTTCGTTGAGATTGGGAGTGTCACACCACACCCACAGCCTGGGAACTCACGCCCACGGGTTTTTAGACTTAATGAGGACAAAGCCGTCATTAATAGGTCTGCATGCAATCATTGGTTCCCACGGTAACTTGATTCCGATTGGTCGCTAGGTACGGGTTCAATAGTGATGGGCACTACATAGTGAAGGAGAGAATTATGAAATGGGCGGAGCAAAAGAAGCAGTTTCCACGGCGACAGCTAGGTGTTAACTTGGGAAAGAACAAGACTAGCACTGATGCTGTTGATGATTACGTTCAAGGAATCAGAGAACTAGGGGGACATGCAGATTACATTGTCATCAATATCTCGTCTCCTAACACTCCTGGTACGAACTAGTAATGTACAGACTATAGCCTCTTTATAATGGACACTTTGAAAGTGTCTCTGTTATACAGAGGTGTCCTTTATGTGGAGGTTATTTTATACAGTAAGGAATGTAATTGGTACACTAGGTGCTGTCCGTTAAATGGAGGTGTATGCTATAGAGAGTGTCCATTAAGAGAGGCTATACTGTATTTTCTTGTTATCTTTTTTTTCCCTTTCAAAAGGATTGAGATCCTTACAAGGTAAAGAACATTTAGTGAAGTTGCTTCAGAAAGTGAGAGAAGAGAGAGACAAGTTATCAGGTCTACCATGTCCTCCAGTTTTAGTTAAGATAGCACCAGATTTGAATGATAGTGATAAAGAAGACATTGCAGAAGTTGTAATAAGAAAAGAAGTAATAACAACAATAATAATACCAACAATAACAACAACAACAATAATAATAATAATAATAATAATAATAATAATAATGTACATTGCCTCAATTAAAAGATTATTATTGGGTAGGGCGGAGCTGATGGCATTATTATTTGCAATACGACAGTTTCTCGTGAAAACCTCAAGAGTTCTCATAGATCAGAGGCAGGAGGTCTAAGTGGGGAACCCTTAAAAGGTTTATCAACTCAACTGATTCAGGAAATGTATCAACTTACTAAAGGTAGTAACTATTAATATTAATTAATTAATTGATTTAATATTGTAGGTAAAGTACCAATTATAGGAGTGGGAGGAGTCAGTTCTGGTCAAGACGCTTACGATAAGATCAGAGCAGGTGCTAGTCTAGTACAGTTATATACTGGACTAGTCTATGAGGGACCACCATTAGTGGGTAGGATCAAGAAAGAACTGGCTCTTTTATTGAAGTAAGTTATGGTACTATGATAGGGAGAAGAGTGTCAGAAACTGTAATAAAAATTAAAAGTGTAAAGCCATTTAGCATGGGCTATAATACAAGGTATTTTTCAGATTCTGGTATTTTATTTAAATGGCCGTAACTTAAAAAATTGAAGTCGGAATCACCTCAAACTTTCTACACAGCATAAGGATGTCGATATGTATCAGAAAATGTAATAAAATTTTTAAATGATTTCGGAGCCATTTTTTCAGAATTTTTCCATTTTCTTAAAATGGTCAATTTTACAGTTGTTTTATTCCATTTTATTCCTGTTTTATTCCGTTTTATTCCGTTTTATTCCATTTTATTCCGTTTTATTCTGTTTTATTCCATTTTATTCCTGTTTTATTTTGTTTTATTTCATTTTATTTATTCAAATTGCCGTAATTTGAAAAATTGAAATCGGAATCACCTCGAACTTTTTACACAGCATAAAGACATCAATATGTATCAGAAAATGTAATAAAAATTGGGGGTCATTTTTGGCCATTTTTTGGAAAAAACCATGGGCTATAGCCTTGGGTATTTTTCAGATTTTTGGCATTTTCTTAAAATGGCCGTAACTTGAAAAATTAAAGTCGGAATCACCTCAAACTTTCTACACAGCATAAGGACGTCAATATGTATCGGAAAATGTAATAAAAATTGGGGGTGATTTCAGAGCCATTTTTTTGAAAAACCATGGACTATAGCCTTGGGTATTTTTCAGATTTTTGACGTTTTCTTAAAATGGCTGTAACTTGAAAAATTGAAGTCAGAATCAGCTCAAACTTTCTACACAGCATAAGGACATCAATATGTATCAGAAAATGTAATAAAAATTGGGGGTCATTTTTTGGCCATTTTTTCAAAAAAACCATGGACTATAGCCTTGGGTATTTTTCAGATTTTTGACGTTTTCTTAAAATGGCTGTAACTTGAAAAATTGAAGTTGGAATCGACTCAAACTTTCTACACAGCATAAGGACATCAATATGTATCAGAAAATGTAATAAAAATTTGGGGTCATTTTTTGGCCATTTTTTCAAAAAACCATGGACTATAGCCTTGGGTATTTTTCAGATTTTTGACGTTTTCTTAAAATAGCCGTAACTTGAAAAAATGAAGTCGGAATCACTTCAAACTTGCTACACAGCATAAGGACATCAATATGTATCAGAAAATGTAATAAAAATTGGGGGTCATTTTTCGGCCATTTTTTCAAAAAAACCATGGACTATAGCTTTGGGTATTTTTCAGATTTTTGACGTTTTCTTAAAATGGCTGTAACTTGAAAAATTGAAGTTGGAATCGACTCAAACTTTCTACACAGCATAAGGACATCAATATGTATCAGAAAATGTAATAAAAATTTGGGGTCATTTTTTGGCCAATTTTTCGAAAAACCATGGACTATAGCCTTGGGTATTTTTCAGATTTTTGACATTTTCTTAAAATAGCCGTAACTTGAAAAAATGAAGTCGGAATCAGCTCAAACTTTCTACACAGCATAAGGACATCAATATGTATCAGAAAATGTAATAAAAATTTGGGGTCATTTTTTGGCCAATTTTTCGAAAAACCATGGACTATAGCCTTGGGTATTTTTCAGATTTTTGACATTTTCTTAAAATAGCCGTTGTAACAAGTGTCATAATTATGGCTCAGTCTCACCTCAATCTGTCAAGTGATACAGTTGATATGTTAATGGCATCAATGAGGATGGCTCCTGATTCAAGCGGATCAATCATACGAAACAAAGCTTGAAACAAACTCGATTTACCGGCACCTGTCCTTCCAACCACACCTACCTAAGACCCTCATAATTAATAAATATACTAATTGATATGAAATACCTTCTCTGCCGATCTTATATTAATTGAAATTCCTTTTAAGGCAGGTGCTAGCCCTTCCCTATAATGGTATGTGATCATGTGATAGTCATGTGACATTACCTGTACTTCAGTACCACTCTTTGAAATTCTATTACTCCTCTGGTTGGCCAATCAATGGGTGGAGACTAAATAATATTATAATATCAGCATAAATCAACATAAATCAGTATGAATCAATATAAATTAGCATGAATCAATATAGATCAGTACGAATCGATAGAAATCAGTATGAATCAATATAAATCAGTATAAACTCACATTATTATTATCATTATTTCTTTCCACAGGAGCTCCCCTGATATACTGCATTGCTCTTTCAACACTGACCATTTCTTTCTCGGTTTCAGTAAAAGACGTCACAACTCCAGAGAGGAGGTTAGTGACTGAGAGTGCATATGATATCGCTAACCCAACAAGACCGGGATCAACTGAGCCAGCAAAGTGATGCTCTAGGACAGCAATAAAAGCCACACCCCCTACCATAGCCACGCCCAACATCTGTAGTCTAATGCTTAACCACTGGGCAACTGCATAACCTGTTTGACAAAAAATAAATAAATAAATAAAATAAATTAATTAATTCTTACTTCCATAGTTTGCCCTTTGGCTCATGTCCAGTTTTGTCTCGTTCTCTTTCATGAATCTCTTCGTAGCTCTCAGAGCTCTGATGGTTGTAAGACCAGTCAGAGTCTCTTGAAAATGAGCATAGACCGGAGACAGAGTCACTGTAGAGAGCCTTTTTAGTTCCCTGAGGAGAGGGAGAGAGAGGGGGGGAGAGAGAAAGAGGGAGGGAGAGAGGGAGAGAGAGAGAGAGAAAGATTGAATGGTGTCTGTCTGTCCTAAATAAAGAGATTGTACCGTCCATTATCATTACCTGGATGTTCTTCTATAATATTTCTGAATGTAATAATAAATTATGGCAAGAGGTACCAGTAGGACGAGAAACCATGGCAACCCGTAACAGGTGATGATTAGCGTCCCCATTAGTCCAAACAATTGAGCGAGTAAAATATTTAAAATAAAAGGAAGAGAATCATCAATAGCGTACTAAAGAATGGAGTAAAATAGAACATAATAATAACAACAACAACAACAACAACAACAACAACAATAATAATAATAATAATAATAATAATAATAATAATAATAACTGACCAGATCAGATGAGAATCTATTCACTATTCTTCCGATCTATAAATAGACATTACATCATTATTACATCATCATGGGTACTAACAGGATTAATGTCAAAGAACCAAACAGGTGCCCCCAAAATGGCGGACAAAAGTTTCTTATGAAGAACTCTTGCAGCCTCTAGACCTCCATAGGCATAAAGGAAGGCTCTTAGCAACGTGAAGAGCTAAAGTATCAAATATCAGTATCAATATCAATATCAATATCAATATCAATATCAGTATCAATATCAGTATCAATATCAGTGATCCCACTCACTGTGTTAGCAGCTGCTAATCCTCCGTATATTCCAAGATAAAATGATAGGTGTGGCTGTGAATTTGTTGATATCGGAGCTGATTCCAGTAATGATGTTAAATTATGACGTTCATCTTTCCTCGTGTGACTGATCCAGAACGATAACCACCAGTCGCTGACATTACGTGACGCTAATTTTTAAAATGATTATTAATTAATGCATTAGGTTAGCCCCGCCCCCTCTCACCTTGCATTAGAAACAGTGAGAGGAGTACAGCTGGTGCCAGTACCAGCCCAACTGATACCCAGTAGGACCAGTACACGCCTACTTTGACCACACCCTCCTCCATCTCCTCCTCCTTCACTAGTACACCATCAGTCATACTCTCATCTTCTTCTTTAATCACCTCAGCAGCTGGTCTTTCAGTTACCTTCAATTAATAATCATTATTATTGTTATTGTTATTATTGTTGTTGTTGTTATGTTATTTTATGAAACCTGTTTGTGAGATCCTGATAGTTTCCTGGGTCTAAACTCATTCCCTTCTATAAGAGGCAGTACAGTAGCAGGTGCTCCAGTGAGAGAAATACCGCCATTTGATAAAACTACACACACACACACACACAATAATCATCACAGTACTGTACTTGTACTTACCTATGACGCAGTCGGTTTCCTGGAGGAACCTGATGTGGTGGGTACACAAGATCCTTGTCTTGTTTTTAAGGAGTCCGGTGATACAGTGGGTGTAGAGGTGGGACGCTACGTGAGCATCTACAGCTGCTAATGGATCATCCAGCAGGTAGACATCTTTATCCTTAAAAAAATTGTAAATAAATATTATTAATGAATGGACTTTACTTGATAGACAGCTCTTGCTAGAGCCAGCCTTGCTTTTTGTCCACCGCTTAATGTCACTCCGTTCTCACCAACTTCAGTTTGATCACCAGCTGGTAATGACTTTAAATCCTGAGAGAGAGAGAGAGAGAGAGAGAGAGAGTAGATTGAGATATCAATTCTTACCTCTTCTAGTGCACAAGCATAAACTACAGCTGCATATCTATCAGGATCATAGGGCAGTCCAAACAGTATGTTCTCTTTGACTGTGGCATATTGTATCCATGACTCCTGGCTAGACAATCCAAACCCTTCGACCAAATCAGACACATAAATCTTTAGAGAACATGAGGAGAAACGGATAATAAAGAGCTAGAATTGACTGTCTTACTTTTCCTCTTATCTTCCTCATCTCTGCTGTAATGGCAGACAGGAGAGAAGACTTGCCCGATCCAACTTTACCAGTAACACCAACAAAAGATCCCTGCAGAAGAGAAACAAAAAATGGATCAAATTTGATAATTTTCCCATCAAAATGAAAATCTTTACCCTCTTAATGCTAATATCAATATTCTTCAGACTCCATTCAGTGAAAGTGTCTCCTCTCTCCTCCTCCCTCCTCCAGCTGAAGGAGGCATTGCTGATACTAACAGCATCCCGCTCCTCACTGGAGAGAGACTCAGGATAGGCACCAGCTGCCAGGTAGTAGGAGGACGGGTCTATCTCAGGGAGACGCAGAAACTCTTGGACTCTCTTTACGGAAACCCAAGCCTCAACGAGACCATTGAGTACCCAAGGGAAGGCGTTAAGAGGACTGATTAGCATATTGAATAGGGCAAGACTTGTAAACACCTTTTAAAAATAAAATAAAATAAAATAAAATAAAATAAATAATAACGTAGTATTTCAGCTAATAAAATTAGATGGACTTATTCATTATTCATAGTTAATTAAATACCAGCCACACCCTTTTAATGAGCCACGCCTTTCTATAAAAAGTTACTTGCCAAACAAAGTGTATTTTACAAAATGTTTTATATAATATTAGAGTTCAAATCTTCTGCTATGCATTTAAAAATAGACTCCAGGTTGGAGGGAGTTGCTTCAAAGTATTGCAGCTGTAACTCATCAGAGACTAGTTGAGCTCTTTCTCTGCTAACTTGTCTCTCCTCTACATGATCACCTTTAGTCCCAATCAAATAAATAAATCCATTATTGTCATTATCTTTGATATTCTTCAAGTCTTTTGCTTGTTTTAGGTAAGGGAGCCAATACTTTGATATACTTTCTAAAGTAGAACTATTAGTAAGATCAAATACAAGACAAACTCCCCAGGAATAAAGAAGATACTGTTTATAGATTGGATCCACTTCCTTGTCGATACTCAGCTCCCAAAAGTTAAGACTAGCAACATGTCCTCCCTCAAGCTGAAGGAGCTTATTAGCAGTACTAATGGGAAGGATAGGGGCCCATGATTCCAGGGACTTCTCTCCAGTGAGGTGACACAATAGGCTGGTCTTTCCAACTCTGGGATCACCAAGAAGAGAAATATTGTACAAGAAAGGGCTGTCTCTAGTAACAGCACTCATTTGACTGGTCCTGCAGCTGCATGAGCCCCGCCCTAAAGTGAGCCACGCCCAAAATACAATACTCATGAATCTCATTACACAGTAAATATCAATTTTGTATATTTTTTTAAAAATTGAATTAAATACGCTATACTAGTCCTTACTTTGGCAGCTGTTAGTTTGTGTCCGAGAGCAACGTAAGTTGAGAATGTCATTATTGAAATCAGGACTGGGGTGGTCGCCCAAAAATAAACACACAAAGCATCGAGGTATTTCCTACCCGCTAAGGACTTCAACTCTGAGGACCTGAAAATATAATAATAATAATAATAATAGTAATAATAATAATGTTCCATTGTCACGAAATCCGTGACAAGCAAAAATAATAATTATTATTATAAATGATTAATAATAATAATAATGATGATGATGATGATTAATAATGTAGCTAAAGTCTTGCCTGATGTTGTTCACTTTGTCGGCAAAGTTCTTCTCCCAAGCGTAGAACTTAATAACTCGGATTCCAGTAAGAATCTCTGTCATCAACTGCAGGAACATAAGTACATGAACACGTATCAGGAAATGTAATTAAAATAGAGCATTATCTCCTTTTCATTTTTGGTTAAATTTGGCCAAAATCACTGTACTATAGTACAGTGACTTTGGCGCAATTTTGGAGTAACTTTAAAAATTCGTATAAAATCCAAACTTCATTGGAATCAGCTCAAACTTTCTACACAACATAAGTACATGTATATGAATCAGAGAATACTTTCTAAAGAGCACATGCAACAGTACATTAACAGATCCTCTTACTTTAACTCTGTTGTCTTTCTGTGTCATCATTTTTGTACTTAGCTCTCCAATCTTCTTTGCCAGCCAGCGATTAACTGGAATAAGTAATATACAAAAGACCACTCCGGCAATAAAAGCAAGTCCAACCTGTTATTAAAACCGGTTTTAAACCATGAGTATAATATACCATACCAGTACCATACCTGTCTATATAAGAGGTATAAAGATACTGATATTTGAAAAGGTAAGCTCCAAAACTGATGGAAACTTGGACAGAAATTAACGATACGATCCACATCAGTACTCATGTGGTTAACAACCTAATTAATAATAATAATAATAATAATAATAATAATAATAATAATAATAATAATAATAATAATAATAACAATAATAATAATAATAATAATAATAATAATAATAATAATAATAATAATAATAATAACAATAATAATAATAATAATAATAATAATAATAATAATAATAATAATAACAATAATAATAATAATAATAATAATAATAATAATAATAATAATAATACAATTACCTGACCAGTAGAATACTCTCCCATCCCTACAGTACTAACTGATAATGATTTACGAAATATTTCAGTAACGAGAGACCCACGAATCTTAATACAAACCTTGTTTACCTATTAATAACCATTAATAACTATTAATAACCATCAATGAATAATTAATGAGATTACTGAACACACTACTGTCATAAGTTGACACTATGTGTTGAATAAACTGATAAATACATGTACATGTACGTGTAAATTGTACTTGATATGTGAAGTGAGCGTTGAGAACTGCCGTCAATAAAGTACTTAAGAACAGACCAAGAGCGTAATAATAGCCGTGAGACATGGGCTCCTGAGAGAGAGGGGGGAGGGAGGGGGAGAGTAAAAACTGAATAAAAGAGAAGAGGCTGTTCTTACAGTTCTATTCTCCATGAAAGCCACCAGCTGGTGTAAGAGTAAAGGGCCTCCAAAACCAATCACATCATTAACTAACTTCATAATACCAAGAGGATAATAATGGAGACCAAAGGACCAGTTAAGAGCACGTACCAGGGACATCTGACGATGAGGAGGAGGAGGAGGAGGAAGGTCAGTATTATTAGGAGCTGTATTGTGAGCAGCTGCTGCTAAAGAGGGTTGACTTGAGTGAGATACTGAGAGCCTGTCCATTGATTTGAGAGAATATAGTTCAGTGTCAGCCCTAGCTCCGCCTCTATCAGGATTAAAAATCCTTTGAAATCTTTCTCTAACGGTAGACGTCCACAGAGCCTTGGGCATTAGAGGGAGGTCCTGTGGTCGTCGTAGCAACCCTAGTGACCCCCTCTTCATGAGAGGCTGTACCCACCAAAAGGAGAGAAGTGATAAAGGATTAGCTCGATCCTCTGAAGCATCTGGTAAACGGAACCGTCTTAGAGTAGGGTGTGGTCTAACCGATCCATATTCCTGTATACCATGTGACGTTACCAACAGCTCATCACCATCGTCCAATATCTCCTCTTCATCCTCACCTTGACGGAACTGGGTGGAGCCTAATAAAGGGGTGTGGCTTGACCGATGCTTACCGGCCGGAACAAATAAAAGAAAAACGTAGACTACTTGGACCCCAAACTCAATGTAAGTGGTGATTTGAATAACACTGGACGAGAGGTAGGACGGAAGAGTAGAGCCGTGGTTTAAGTAGTGTACGACAGAGCGAAAGCGAAGGATAGTGGAGAGAAGGGTGAGTCCCCACGTCAGGTTAAGGGGCAGTGGACCGAGGCCGGTATGAGTAGGAGAGAAAGAGAGAACAAAAAGAGAGAGAGAATGAATGATCCATGCTAACACTGAGAGGGACTGAGAAAGAAAGAGAGAGTAGGAGAGAGATGGAATCAACCAGAAAGAAGAGACCAGTTTAGTGATGGAGTTGATCCCTAGTATTGTAACGAGGATACCACGAGCTAGTAAACCCAGTGATGGCCTCTGTCTCCTGTTACGAGACCTGTAGAGTCCAGCGTAAAGGGCGCTCACTAGAGAGAGGAGAGAGTAGGAGAGGCTAAGGATAAATATCTCTTCAAAGCAAAGTCCAAAATCCCCATCCTTCCAAAATATGAACTGGGTGTCTATCAGAGGAGGCCCGGGATGTCTTTTCAATAAAGGAGAGTGACAGAAGGAAGCATATTCACTCATATTTTAAAAGCTTTACTCTCACCCTCTCTTGGTATTCTTTTCCAGGAGGGTTAAAAATACTTCCTGTGGGTAGCTAGGTGTGGTTTACCCACGTGCAAAAACGTGGTCGGGTTTAGACTGAGAAAATGATTGATCAAAACCAAAAAGGCTAACAGAACTAAGAGACAATATCACTAGCTAAAAAGCATGTACTAAACTACTCAAAAAAACTAATAACTGAGTCCTATAATATATATATAAATAGTTAATGTCCAAAGGAAGGAGCTCCATCTTGTGTTCAGACACAAGTACAGGTAACTCCGGCATCTTGAGCATGTAGACAGCTATTGCTGGTAGAGTAGGAGCAGCTCTTCAGTGATCCCTCAATTCCTGTACACTGGAGACTGCTCATCAATATAGAGCCTGTACCAGGACCAAAGTATCCAGCAACACGAGCAGTTCCTGGAACAAAAGACACAGTGTGTGATTGTAGAATGTTGCAGCTACTACACAGCTATTCCTTACCAGTTCCCAGTCCAAGCTCCCTGCAGACTACAGAGGCGTCAGTATCATCAAAGGAATCATCACACACGGTACCCCATACTCCATTCTTAAACACTTCAATCCTTCCTTCAAGACTTGAGGTGCCTCCAACAAGTTTAATTGGAGCTGGAAAATAAAAAAATAATTTACTAATCAATTCTACTCTTTTATCTCTTTGACTTACGTGAACACAAAACTCCAGCATCTTCATAGTGACCGCAGTTATGACTGCTGGTGTGGGTACAGCTGGTGATTTCAGTTTCATTTCCAGTACACTGCAGGTCATCCATTAGAATGCTACCAGTACCTTCACCAAATGTTGCAGCTAATCTTGCAACTCCTGCAAACAAACAGCACATACAAGCATTAACAGTACATGCAGATGATCAGTGACTCTCTCACCATTAGCTAATCCCAGCTGCTTGCAGACTACTGAAGCATCAGTGTCGTCCCAGTAATCATCACATATGGTGCCCCAGGCCCCATTGGAGTATATCTCAACACGACCTTCATAATCATTCCTACCATCAACAAGTCTTATAGGCTCTAAATAATAATAATAATAATAATAATAATAATAATAATAATAATAATAATAATAATAATAATAATAATAATAATAATAATAATAATAATAATAATAATTGATAATAATAATAATAATAATAATAATAATAATAATAATAATAATAATAATAATAATAATAATAATAATAATAATAATAATTCAATTACCTGACCAGTAGAATAGTCTCCCATCCCTACGGTACTAACTGATAATGATTTACGAAATATTTCAGTAACGAGAGACCCACGAATCTTAATACAAACCTTGTTTACCTATTAATAACCATTAATAACTATTAATAACCATCAATGAATAATTAATGAGATTACTGAACACACTACTGTCATAACTTGACACTATGTATTGTATAAACTGATAAATACATGTACATAAATGTACATGTACATGTACATGTAAATTGTACTTGATATGTGAAGTGAGCGTTGAGAACTGCCGTCAATAAAGTACTTAAGAACAGACCAAGAGCGTAATAATAGCCATGAGACATGGGCTCCTGAGAGAGAGGGGGGAGGGAGGGGGAGAGTAAAAACTGAATAAAAGAGAAGAGGCTGTTCTTACTGTTCTATTCTCCATAAAAGCCACCAGCTGGTGTAAGAGTAAAGGGCCTCCAAAACCAATCACATCATTAACTAGCTTCATAATACCGAGAGGATAATAATGGAGACCAAAGGACCAGTTAAGAGCACGTACCAGGGACATCTGATGATGATGATGAGGAGGAGGAGGAGGGTCAGTAATGTTAGGAGCTGTATTATGAGCAGCTGCTGCTAAAGATGGTTGACTTGAGTGAGATACTGAGAGCCTGTCCATTGATTTGAGAGAATATAGCTCAGTGTCAGCCCTAGCTCCGCCTCTATCAGGATTAAAAATCCTTTGAAATCTTTCTCTAACGGTAGACGTCCACAAAGCCTTGGGCATTAGAGGGAGGTCCTGTGGTCGTCGTAGCAACCCTAGTGATCCCCTCTTCATGAGAGGCTGTACCCACCAAAAGGAGAGAAGTGATAACGGATTAGCTCGATCCTCTGAAGCATCTGGTAAACGGAATCGTCTCAGAGTAGGGTGTGGTCTAACCGATCCATATTCCTGTATACCGTGTGATGTTACCAACAGCTCATCACCATCGTCCAATATCTCCTCTTCATCCTCACCTTGACGGAACTGGGTGGAGCCTAATAAAGGGGTGTGGCTTGACCGATGTTTACCGGCCGGAACAAATAAAAGGAAAATGTACACTACTTGGACCCCAAACTCAATGTAGCTGGTGATTTGAATAACGCTGGACGAGAGGTAGGACGGAAGAGTAGAGCCGTGGTTTAAGTAGTGTATGACGGAGCGAAAGCGAAGGATAGTGGAGAGAAGGGTGAGTCCCCAGGTCAGGTTAAGGGGCAGTGGACCAAGGCCGGTATGAGTAGGAGAGAAAGAGAGAACAAAAAGAGAGAGAGAATGAATGATCCATGCTAACACTGAGAGGGACTGAGAAAGAAGGAGAGAGTAGGAGAGAGATGGAATCAACCAGAAAGAAGAGACCAGTTTAGTGATGGAGTTGATTCCTAGTATTGTAACGAGGATACCACGAGCTAGTAAACCCAGTGATGGCCTCTGTCTCCTGTTACGAGACCTGTAGAGTCCAGCGTAAAGTGCGCTCACCAGAGAGAGAAGAGAGTAGGAGAGGCTAAGGATGAATATCTCTTCAAAGCAAAGTCCGAAATCACCATCCTTCCAAAATATGAACTGGGTGTCTATCAGAGGAGGCCCGGGGTGTCTTTTCAATAAAGGAGAGTGACAGAAGGAAGCATATTCACTCATATTTTAAAAGCTTTACTCTCACCCTCTCTTAGTTTTCTTTTCCAGTAGGGTTAAAAATACTTCCTGTGGTAGGTGTGGTTTACCC